CACACACACACACACACACACCATATCATATCATATACACACATACATATGCATTATACGCTCGTCTCTTTTATTTTCTGTCTCTCTCTCTCTCGCTCTCTCCTTCCGATTCTCTCGGCCGATCGACGGCGACAGCGGGTGCGCAGTGCGCATGCAACTCGCCGCTTACTTCGCGCAGCTCTGTCGTGCGCGCGAGCGCGTGCTAACGTGGCGTGCGAGACGACGACGAGTTCTCGACGCCGTGTTCGCGCTTTGTCTCTCCCTCGCCTCTTTCGTCCTCTCTCTTTCTCTCTCCCCTTTTTCATAGTTTTCGCGTCGTATCTCACAGTTTGCGGAGAATTGTCTCTCTATCGCGGTAATTTTTTTTCTTCTATCTCTCTCTCTCTCTCCGAGGGGTCTGAAACAGCTTTCATTCTGAAAAGACCGTTTCTTCTTGAAACAACTTCGCGATTCTGGGAAAATTGCCAAATCCGCGTGTACGCACATTTGTCCGCACATAAATTCTCTTGCTATCTGAATCTCTGCCCTCCAAGGGATGCGATAAACGATTTACTGCCCGATTACCTTGGCACTCGCTTCTCTACATACATACACACATGCACACATTACGAACTAGAATGCCTATCTATTGAGAATCTGCTATATACAAGGTGGTATCGAATCTCGGAAAATCGAATTCGAGTTTTTCGCTTGACAGATGATGATCTGCCGCTGGATGACTATCCGCATCTTAACTCTCCCCAAATAAATACCCTTTCCAGATTGCTAAAGCATGCTACATCGCTGCTAAAGGAACGCATCTAACCTAACCTATTCTCTCTCTTTCTCTTTCTTTTCCTCTCGTCCCGTTTCTTCCCACGGCATGCCTTCCCAAAGTCGCGTTTCCGCACACCGCCTGCTCTCATATCTCCATCAGGAAGACCATCGGGCAACGTACGCGCGCACGCGCGCGTAGTCGCGGAAAAGCTATGGTGAGTTTTAATCATGGGGGCGGTCGACGGAGGACGGCTTGCGGAACCGCCGGCGTAGTTTGACAGTTTGCCGCGGGGCGTCTGGTGGCTGCCCCACCCAGTCGTCTCTTTCTCTCTCTCTCTCTCTCTCCCGCCTAGCCCGTCCATTCGTTCGTCCGTCCGTCCGTCCATCTGTCCGTTCGTCCATCCGTCCGTCCGTGTCTCTTTCGACCGTCTCGCTATGCATGTCGTAACCTTCCCCCCCGTTGCCCCATGCTATCGCAGCTTTGCGTTTTCTCTTTTTTTCTCTACCGCGCGCTCCTCTTTCGCTCTCGCAAACGTCTCGATCCGTTCCGAGCCTCTTTCGGGCCACGTATTTCCTTTCCCCCTCCCCCAATTCTGCGTGTTAATACGATTCTATAAACTCGGCGGATATCGGTATGTTCGTTGAGATATCACATTCCGAGGATTTTTCCTTGTCTCGTAGTAACGCCATATAAGATATAAATCTATTTCGAGATAAATGAGTCTAATATTTGTATTGTGCTATATCAAGATTACGCCAGAGCCCGTTTAAAATTCTATCGATTCTATTATTTTCTTTTTAAGAGGAGATTGTAAGAAAATTCTCTTTTTTTTTTAGGCTACATTCCAAAACGTCCATATTGGAGAAAAATTTTGTTCGTTCATTGTTTCAGAACTTTACAAACTTCTTAATTGAATCCTTATTCATCATCGAAGACTCATCGAATAAAATTTTTCTCGGGAAAGGAGATTTTGGAATGAAGTCTTGGAAAATATTTTCCAAGTGTTCCATTTACAAAGTGGCGTGATGCAATTTTTAAGTTGTACCACCGGCGAACGCGTCGTTATTATCAACAATCTGTTACCGATATATAAACGAGAGGTCGACGTCAAAGTTGCGGAATTGGCAACGTAAGGTACAAGTTGTGGTATCTCAAAAATGCAACGTGTACGGCACTCGTGGCAAGGTGATTTCGAAGTGAGCGTTAGAGCGAACTCGAGCGAGAAACAGAGCGGGGGTCGAAAAAGATGTCTGGAAAGGCATGCGTCTCGCTAGACGCGAGAGTAGGAATTCGGTGACGGATAGTACGTGTTGCAAGTTGCAACGGCGTTCTCTCGGTTGTACAGCTTGCTAATTTTAGCTCGGAACCTGAGAAGCCGAAATGCTAGAAATTCGATGGGCAGTCCGCTATTCCCGTTCCAAGGGACGGGAAATCCTTGTGACCTGTAACTATGTATTTCCTCGGAAACTCCGAAGCCGATCCCAAAAATTTTGGGAAAGTCACCGAAATACTCGGCCAATCTAAAAAACTAAAATTCTCAAAAGAGCTCGTAAATATTTATAAACTTGTGTGAAACTTCCAACTACTTGAGGCTCCTTTTAATTTGTTTATATTAACGATCTTTATCTCTCCTCGAGGAATTTTATTTCGTGTTCCAACGTTATTTATAGCTGCGCGCTATTGCACATTTTAATAGCAGTCGGCATATTGTGGAAACAACACGCGAGTTCATTGTCGGCTTACCCCTCTTACTCAGTGCATCGTCATTGGTTTACCCCTCGCTTGACACGAGGCCGTCGCCATCATCGTCGTAGTCATCGTTATCGTCATCGTCGTCGTCGTCGTCGTCGTTGGAGAGGTTATCGCGTGCGCGATGAACGAGTTCAAACGACTTCGTCGTGATCATTGCCGTGAGGAGTCATCGTACAAAACAGCTGTTCATCTCTCGCAACGAGCTCTGTCCCGATTTAGATTTTTTTTCATGCACACGGTTCCTACCGCGGTGCGATAAAAATGCGATAAAAAAAAATTGGTCGACTCATATACCGGGTGGTCCGATCTTATCATTGTGTTTTTAAAGCGACTGGCAGGTAAGAGGTCTAGTTGAATGCGCGCAGCTAGACATTATCAGAATCTGTCTTATAATATAAATGACGATCTGTGTTTAATCTGATATAAAATAATTTTACGGGAATTAAAAATAACATAGACATTCATTAGCTTAATCGTGAAGCTGTGATAATCTCGAATTAATCTCTTGTGAGAAACACTAAAAACGCCCTCTGCCGAGTAATTAAATCTTTTCGTATCTCGCTCGCTCGTAATTGGCTTTAGTCGCGCGTTAATTGCGGCAAGATAATACGCGATGCTTAATGAGCATCGCATCGTATCGCGTCGCGTCGCATCGCATCACATCGCATCGCATCGCATCGCATCGCATCGTATCGCATCGCATCGTATCGTATCGGGCATGCACCTTGCACTTTGTATCGCGTGTATTTTATATGTGCATGTGTGAATGTACGAGTTTAAAGGGCTTCGTGATGCAAGAGCTAATTCAATCTTGCTTGTCTCTTTTTTTTTTAATTCGTGAATTTCGAGAACGATCGAACTATTTAACAATGAAAGAATATCATATCCGGCGTAAAAACATGGCCTCGTTTAAAAAACTTTGTCAGTGAGCTTTATCATCAGGTCATATACGAAAAAAAGAAGAATGTTATTGTGAATGCACTTTCTTGCAGTTTCTTTGAATTCACGCCAGTCGATTGTCATCGGAATCACGTTGAGGTTCGAAGAATCAACCCGATAAAATCGGTCGTGCATCGCATACTCGCATAAAATTTATGTCTTTTTTTTTTTTATCGTTTTTTGAAGCAGATACTATGCCACTTTGTTTGCGTCCTTATCTAAGGCGCTGATAATACAATCGCACTTTGGCTAAATAAGCGAGATAAAGAGAAAGCAAATGCGTGTGGATTTCCTTTGAATGTCGCCTAACGACGAGTTAATATCTTTTCGAACTTTCAACATAATATTAACGACACCGTGTTCAATTTTCCAATGTTATCTGAACTTATCGCGCTTACCGTCACTTGATATTTTTTATCGCATTTCCAATACGTGATAACGATAAATAACAATTACGTACAACAATAAAAGATAATAGTTGAAGCATTGCTCGCAAAGAGAATTTTTCTATACAAACTAATACGTGCATGGAAAGAACGGTTTTGTTTGAGTGTAAAGTCTAAAAATTTAACCAGATATAAATCTGAAGATAATTTTGTTGGGATATCAAAATTATTATATAGAAGTTTAAACATGGTGATAATGCTGTAAAAAATTCTTGATATTCTAGCAACCAATTTGAATGTCTTTTCTTGATTTTCGTGTAATCGTGTATAAAGTTTTATCTTAATTTTTGAAACAAGCTTAGATTGAATTTTTTCAGTACTTTATCACAAATTTACATTTACTCCCTCCCCCCCCCCATTCTTATCCCTTTTCTCTCTTGTGCACAATTTGGAAAGATTGTACGCTTTTTCGATTTCGCCGAGAATTTCGTTCGGTTACGCGAGATTTCCTGGTCGAATTGCAAATCGAGCACATTGGAGAATCATCGTTTGTTATCATCGTTGACTTAAACTCACGTATACGAATGCGCTTGGCGCGATTGATCCAAGCGCGCTGAAACTCACGACTTCGCTTTGCCGTGAATTTTTTTTTGGTCGGACTGCATAATCAGCGCCGATGATGAACGATGGAACTGCGAACGATGAAGGGATAATCAAAAGGATGGTAGCCATCTTTTCGCACTTTAAACTCCGTTCGTCAAATATATTTAATCAAGAATCTCAAGGAGTGATTCGTCGAGCCAACGACAGGT